CGATGTCCCTAACCCTGCCTATATATTTCCTATTGGTACATAATTATATAACATTTCACATATTCAAATGTACAGACTACATGTCATGTTACACACCATTATAATTAATGATCAATCATATTATTTGGATAATAAGTATTCTTTTTGTAAATAATATTCTTATATATTCATAATGTTACTGTTGTCTTTTTCTCCCCTAACGCCAATATTGGTCACTAACGCATGTTCAATGGACTTAGGCACCTAGCGTATAATTACTGTTTAGTGTTTAGTATAATAGTAGTATAGTCTATAAGTCACTGTGGACTATGTGTACCAATCACTTGTGTCGACTTTAAAACCCGATCACCAATTACGAAAAAAATCAAAAATGTTTTATATCATGTAATCGTGAGCATTATATACTTTACTATTTGTTTTTAGGCAGATCGAATTTTCGACGATCGATCTATGAAACCCAACTAATTAAAAAACACCTAATGTTAATTGTAAAATTTGCTTTTTGCTGTATATACGTCCAAGCAAATACTAATTTCGTCATAATTTCAGGAAAAGTCGTATTTCCATTTGATACTATTAATTTCAAGTTTCGGTAACCTGCACTTTTTAATCATCGATCCAAGGACTTCCAAATTCATGGAATTAAGAACTCTAGTACTAGGCTAGATAATAGGTTGTAAAGGTATGTGATTATTTTTAATTATTTTATTCTGGTGTTGGTTATATTTATATTTTTAATAGCAAAATTATTTGTAATATAATATGATAATAAATTATTGTGAATTTAAAATGGTACCTGTTACAAAAATTATTAAATAGGTACCTATTATTTGGATAACATTAAATAAATGGAACACAATATAGAATACGTATAATCAAAAATATTTTTTAAACTACGAACTATTTTCTAATAGTTAACTTAGGTACTAATTTAGATATTAAAAAGTTGAATTAGTAATTTAATTATTGCCAGTTAATTTGTGTCTATAAATAGACGGTAACAAAATTAAAACTAACAATATACAAAGTTTATTATAAAAACTTCACGGTGTGTACCTACCTTTTTATTTTAAAAATTTGTCTACGTTAACCAAAATATTTAACACAGTACCACCTACATAAACCACTAAACGCAATCATGTCTGCCTTGTCTGAATTCAATCTTTTTGTTTTATTATAGATTATTAAATTATAAAAAACCCCATCAAATGTGTATAGAGTTTCGAATATATTCAATATTAACGATATATTTTCGATAATAGAGATATGTTTTGTTCAAAATAAAAAATTTGGTATGACAGAATCAAAGAAAACAGTAACTTGAACACCCCAAAGGATATGAATATTGAATAACGAAAAAAAAGCCAATCTCTTACATCGTCAGTCGTCAGTCAGTCTCGAAATGCATCGGCAAAAAATAATATTCCAATTACATATGTGTAGGCACTAGATACGTATATAGCCATATAGGTATATTATATTATTAGTAGGTATGGTATATACTATATTGTATAAGTATATTTGCCATTAGGGATATGTGTATCCATTGGTTACTTTTAAGCCAGATAAAAAAAATCTATCAAGATAAGACGATCGATAAAAAGTATTATCTTAATAGTAATTACTAATTACAAATGAACATAAAAATTAAAATTTACATGATGGACATATTATTATGTATTACCTATGTAAATATATACCTATATATTTTTTTAATTAAAACAAAAACAAATACAACATACAAATATAATTCTTAAAGTAAAATATATATTTATTATTTTTTCGAATAATAATAAAGTATTTTTCTTTATGGTTTTATAAAAATTGTGATTCCTAAAATACTATATTTTGATATCACTTTTACTTGAAAATTTTTTTTTTTTTTGTTTATTAAAGTGGAAGTAGAATTTTATCTATACTTACTTCATTTTCATTTGATACCGCATATTTTATGGCTACGTTTATAATAGTATTTTACTTTTTTTTCATTTAGCTGCATATGTAAAGCTTTTTCATTGAGACATAATTTAGGTGCAAGTTATTTATTTAGGCACCTACCTAAGACTTACAAGATAATGGCACGAATTTCAGTGCTTTTAATAACGTTAAAATATCATATGAAATCACCTGTGCCAACACACCATGGAAATGTAGAATGTAGGGAAATGTATTTTCTATAGCAGTGCTCATATTATAATAATCATAAGTCTCGCACCGATCTATACAAAATAATAGCACAATAGTATTATAGTAATGATACAACCGACTGCGAGGCGCGAACGACCCTCTCTGTAATCTCGGTCCTCGAAAACCTCAAAATGTCCTGTCCCGCGCAGGTTCATCCGAAATCCGAATGAACCACAATTTATATATATATTTATTCATCATGAATAATAAATAATAATAATAATACGCGCGCGCGTGTGTGTGTGTGTATGTTTTTAGCGCACTAAGGGTGCGTCAATCATTAAACTGCAGCAAATATTGGTCAATTGTCATATATTATATTTATAATATGTAAACTACAATAACACGCACCACAAGCGATTCACCCTCCCCCTTGTATACACATAAATATAAAACTTTTATGTATACACAGCATACACACGTTTCTATTTAATTGAAACTTTATCAAGTCCAAGTATGTATACAGTAGACAGAAGTATATTTACAATATTACAATACAACGACTAATCTTTGCGGATCACCAACCAGTATTCAATTTCCCTACCCATTTGCAGCATGAAATTCAAAGATCAAAAACAGAAAACGGAAAATAAAGTAAAAATGTATAGTACTAATGATATTATTGACTTTTTTCAATTAAATATTTAACTGAATAACAACACGATTCAAAGGTACAATTTTTTAATTTTAATCATTATTATCGTAATTGTTAGTGAATGGTTAATGCGTTATAAATTATTATATTTTCGTTCGACAAGTATTAATATACAGCCGTACAAAAATAGTCGTATTTTTATCATGTTTCGGGACGCGAGAGAATTAAAACTTGAATTCAGCAGATTGCTCGATATTAGGTGTAATAACGGTAAGTCGGTCAGCTTACAAAATTCATTCAATGATTATTGGGATTACCTCACAAGCAAACTAACAATAAAAATAACAATAAAATATTTATTGCAAAATGTTCGTCACCCGATAATTTTAACAAATAATTTAACAATTTATTTAATTAGATTTTTTTTAAAACTACTAAATACCTACTAATTGGACAATTTACGTGTATGTGGTGTATTATACGTATACCTACTTTTTTCTGTAGCTCAGTTTAAACAATTTTGTACAACTTTTTAAGCACTCAATTAAATTAAATAAATTAAAGTTATATCATCATATATTATTATAATGATAAATGATTGTTTAAAGTATAATATTAATATACTCGCTTAAAATTATGTCAGCTCAGCCTCAGCGTTTGTTTTCTAATTTTCTCTCTCCAGCCCAAGCGCAACATAGACAAGACGTATTCACGCAAAATCATTTTTTTTATATTTATAAGAAATCTTAGAGTAAAACCACCCACAACAAAAATTATAAAGAACTATATTTTTGATGTTTTGATATATCGGTTTTATATTTTATTATTATTTGACTTTATATTAATAATTTAAATTCATCTGAGAGGAAGGAAAACAAATATATAAGTATTAAGCTAATTAAATTTTATTTAACCAAAGTAGTTTATTTTTTAATTTTGCACAAGAAATATTTATTTTTGGCCTTTTGGGACAAACACTGTAATTTAAATTAATTCTTTAAGAGGATTTCAGTGTACCTACTGTTTGTTTACTAATTCTAACCCACATGGAAGTGTGTAACATAGACAAATCGCATTCACTCAAAATACATTTTTTTGATGTTTTATAGTTATCTTAAAGTAAAATATATACTACAAAAATATTGGAAGTATTAAGCATAAATTAAACTAAGTTTTATACAGTTTTCGCCATTTTGTATATAAATAATATATACATAATACATTTATTAAAGGTGGAAATGTCAATGGTGGGGGGTGTTTAACCACCTATCTACGTTTCATGTCTTCGCCACTGGGTTACATACGTACCTATTACAAGCTTTATTACAGCTTCATTTCAATCTATAAAATGTAATGAAAAATGTATGAGACCTATAAACTCCTTAAACCAGAGGTATTCAAACTTTTTCATCACACGGTTCCTTTAAGTCTTCACAAAATGTTGACGGCTCCCAAATTATAAATGACAAAAAAATAAATGTTTATATGAATGTAATTTATATTTTATTATTTATTTACCATATTACATAAATAAAAAAATTAAAGCTAAATTTAGCGAATGATTGTTGTAGACAATTCAACGTTTCCCAACCGGTGTGCATCAATGATAATAGTAAACATTTTTCGTAAAAATATTTATTGGTTTTCAATTATACTACGCGGCTCCCTTCGACAACTCCCGCGACGCCCCTGGGAGCCCCGACGCACAGTTTGAATACCTCTGTCCTAAACTGATTATACCCTTTAGGAAATCCTTACCTTTTAGCTACCTGGCTGCCCATTTATCATTTGAGCTTTTTGTAATATTGCTTGTTCCTTGTTTAGCGTCTTCAACGAAGTACCAGCTAGTAAATAGGTAGGTAACTAACATAAAAAACTATAATCAAAAATAACTATCGAACTATAATCAAGTACTACTATCTTAGACCATAGTATATGTATATCTAATGTATTTGCTATAATTATTGGTATATGCTATAAATTATTTTAAATAGGTATAATAGGCATAATAGGCATATAAGTATATAATTACCTATAATATAACTTATAACTTATAAGTATATTCTATAGTGTGATATAAGTATGTATTTTGAGTTTTTATGAGATTAACTATGGAAGAGAAAACACCATAAATTACCGTTTACTCCATGACAATCACAAAATAAATTTATGAACTCCGTAGCTGATGATAAAGTAAACAATAATAATAATAAGATTATAACAATATAAAAAATTATTTATTTATTTATTAGTACTTATCGTCTGGCGGCTATCACAAATTAAGATAGTTAAGATCGTCTTAATTCGTGGTACCTATGTGAACATTGTGTGTTCTGATTTCAAAGCTTTCAAATTTCAATGTTCAATGAAAGTTGACAGACAAGTAGACAACAGTTAATAACGATGAACAAGTAATTTATTTTAAAATTTAATTTGTTTTTTATTACTATACAAGTTAACATTATTATCCCCGTTTTGGAGATCGGGTAAGTATATCGTTTTTTCCTGGCCAGCAGATGGTCTCCAACTCGTTCACCAAAGCGGAAATCGAAAAATGTCTGTGTATACAAGGCAATCCAACGAAATGGAAAGGGCTGTTGATTGGATCATTAAGGAAGATCGCCGATTTGGTGCACCCTTTGTTAACAGTGAGCGACGAAGCATTAGAATGTGTCGAAATGCTAGTTGTTCAATGTCTGGAGATACTGACTTTAAGGTCATCACCACCTCACACTGTATTTGACATTGAAGACCAAGTAAAACGATGGTTTCCTAAGCCAATAGACAAGTGGGCTATTAAAGATGCAAATGAGGCAATAGAGAAGAACAAGAAAAAACACCCTTTAATATTACCAACCGATAAAATTCATAACTTAGTGCAAAAGGAAATACTCCAATACAAGTTAGACTATCCAGTAGCTCTTTATATAACAGCTGTCTTAGAATACATGGCAGCTGACATTTTAAAATTAGCTGGTAACTATGTTAATAATATACATCGTGTAGAAATCAGCTACCAAGACCTCTGTGTCGCGATATGTGGTGATAAAGTATTAATGGACTTGTTTGGCCAGCATGACAACAATGGTGACTTGAACCTGTCTGAATTAGGTATTGATAAAATTCCAAAAACTACTACTTATGAAGAAGTCATAAGAGATCTAATGCACGATGAAAGACAACTTATTAGAGATTTACATTTAATTTTAAAAATTTTCAAAGAAGAAATTGATCGTATCATTCCTGTAGGTAGCAGTCAAGAATTGGATAATATGTTCAACAATATTACAGACATATGTAAGACTACTGCTCTATTTTTAAGTTCTATTGAAGACATATTGGAAATTGCAGAGGATAAATCAGCTACAGTTGGTTGTTGTATTGAAGAGTTAGCAGAAGCCGCTGAATTTGATGTGTTTGCACGCTATGCAAATGATATTGTTAAAAAACAATGTAGGGATATATTTTGGAATTTAATCGGTAAACCAGAAGTTTCAAATTTACTTCAATCAGCTGGTTATGGTTTTAAAGAAGCTGTAAAATATTATTTTCCAAAATTATTACTTTTACCCCTGTGGCATTGTATTCTCTATTTTGAGTATTTTAGAATTTTACATCAACTTTCTCCTTCCCAGCATGATAGAGAGTGTTTGGAACAAGTAGAAGGCATTTTGAGACCCTTACAATTACAAATGACATCAGCTGCAAATCAAGTTAACTTACCAGATAATGTCAAAGAATTTGGACTCAAAATTAATGCAACACCTAGACGATTGTTAGCCATTGAAAAATTGAATGAAATGCAAAAAGCTATTGATGGTTGGGATGGTAAAGATATGGGTCAATGTTGCACAGAGTTCATAAGAGAAGGAGTACTTGTAAAAGTTTCAAGTGGAGGTAAGCGTTGTTCAGAGCGTAAAGCAATCTTATTTGATGGTGTTCTTCTTTTATGTAAATCAAATAGCAGAAGAACTTCAGTATCGGTCAGCTCTCAACTTGTTGGTGGTTTATCTGAGTTCAAATTAAAAGAAAAATTATTTATTAGAAAAGTGGAAATTGTTGATAGAGATGATACAGACGAGACAAAAAACTTTTTTGAAATAGTCCCTCGTTTACAGCCACCGGTAATATTAGTTGCCAATTCTTTTCAAGATAAAGCTAATTGGATGGCCGATTTAATTATGCTGAACACAAAAAGTATGCTAGACAGAACCTTAAACAGTATACTACTTGATGAAGATAAAAAATTTCCCTTACGGTTACCTTCAATTGAAGAATACAGATTTGTTGAACCTGATTCTCGGTCTAACATAATTTTTGAGGAAAAGGAAAATAATGGTGTTCCTCTTATTAAAGGTGCCATTTTGCTGAAACTTATAGAAAGATTGACATATCATATTTATGCTGATCCAAAATTTGTAAAAACATTCTTAACAACATATCGCAGTTTTTGTTCACCTCATGAATTAATGGATCTCCTAATCGAAAGGTATAACATTCCCGAGCCTTTTGGTATAACAATGGATTCAGTAAGTCTTCGAGATGAAACAAAACGATTTAAAAAAGAATATTTAGTACCTGTTCAATTTAGAGTGTTAAATGTGATTAGGCATTGGGTCGACTATCACTATTATGATTATCAATGTGATCCGTATCTATTAGATAAATTGCATGCATTTATAGAATCAATTAATGGAAAATCAATGAAAAAATGGGCGGATTCAGTTATTAAAATAATTCAAAGAAAAACTTCTGAAGCTCAAAAAGAAATAACGTTTGCATTTGATTCGCCACCACCAGCAATTGAAGTACATATGGATTTTAATGGAAATGATGATTTTAACATTCTACTTGTACATCCTATTGAATTTGCAAGACAGTTGACTCTTATTGAATCTGAAAATTATAGAGCAGTTAAACCTTCAGAGTTGGTTGGATCTGTATGGACTAAAAAAGACAAAGAAATAAATTCTCCAAATTTACTTCGATTAATCAAACGTACTACAAACTTTAGTCGTTGGATTGAAAAAGCTGTTGTTGAATGTGAAAATATTGAAGAGAGAGTAGCGGTTGTGTCAAGATTTATTGAAGTAATGATGGCTTTAGACGAACTAAATAATTTCAATGGTGTCTTAGGTGTTCTTTCAGCTATGAGTTCGGCTGCAGTATTTCGCCTAAAATTTACAATGCAGTCAGTCAATGCTAGACTTGATAGAGCTCTAGAAGAAGCTCGAGATTTGAGTAATAATCATTTTAGAAAGTATCAAGATAAATTAAGAAGTATAAATCCACCATGTGTCCCATTCATTGGTATGTATTTAACAAATATATTACATATTGAAGAAGGTAATCCAGATTGTTTGACAAACAACCCAAATTTAATAAATTTCAATAAGCGGAGAAAAGTGGCAGAAATTATTGGAGAAATCCAGCAATATCAAAATCAACCATACTGTTTAAATGTCGAGCCTAAAATAAAAAAGTTTTTAGAGAACTTAAATCCTTTCAATGATATGAAAGATACAGATATTAGTAACTATTTGTATGAAAAATCTTTAGAAATTGAACCAAGAAATAGCAAACAATTTCCCAAGTATCCACGAAAATGGCCAGACTTAAATCTGAAATCACCCGGCTTAAAGTCTAAAATACGAGTGCCATCAGTATCCTCCAAAGATATGGATGTCCAAGGCAGAAGAAATTTAAGTTCATCAAGTTCTTTAGTTATTCAAATGGATAAAAGAGATGCAGATGATTCTGTCTTCGCACCAGTAACATTTACTTTAGGAAAAAATAACGATGTTCCTCCAGTTCCACCTCGACTGAGTAAAATAGATGGATCTTTCAGACCACCTATACCACCAAGAAGAATGGCTCCACCTTTACCTCCGAGAAGATTACTAGTTGAAGAAGTTTCAACTTTCAAGAAATTTGTTGTAGACTTACCCAAACCAGAAACTAATCAAGACTTGAATTGGAACAAAAACCTTGTACCGGTAGTTAGTCCTAGTAAAAAGTCTATAGATCTAAAAACAAAAGCAATTAATTTTCCCAAACGTGATAATACTTTTGAACGTCTGAGCGGACCACCATTCTCAAGGCCAGAAGCTATACAAAACTCTAGGTTTCCATTCAAACTATTTGTACTAAAAAAAACAACTCCTTCTATGTTCCAATTCAATGTTTGAATACCTAATACTATTTTCTATAAGCATTATAAATCAATATATCAAGAACCAGTTATGAAATGATTGCCAAATTTTAATTTAGTTGTATAAATGTATCCAGACAAATTGTATTTTAGTTAACTTAAGTAATGACCCTAGTATATCCTATAAACTTGTAATATGCGATACCAAATTCTGGATAAAATAATATAGGTTCTCGGGTTTTATTTCTATATCACATATTCATTTTTCTCTTTGAAATTATCAAAACATGTTTTTAATTTTCAGTGAAATGAATTCTTCCGTTACATTTTTATAATTTAGTCCATTTGTTATAGATTGTATTCTGTCAATTTGATTTTTATATTTGTAATTCCATAACACCAACGTTTGGTCCAATATTAAATAATGTTGGATTGAAATTATTATTGAAAAAAAATTGCGTTTTGTCTGTGATAACCTGTGTATAATTTGACCTTGGATATTTGTTCTTGATGTATTCGTACATTGTTACAAGCCATGCAGATTTACAAATTGTGTAGTACCTATTGATTAATATTGTAATATTGTGAAAGTATGTAGCTAAAATATTGATATTTCAATATATTTTACTGTTTATTATCATATTATGTAAACACTTTAAAAATTATTTTTACAGTGTTAGAATATTTTGAGTAGTGATATATGAAGATCATATGATATTAAGCTTTAATTTATATACAACATTGACTATTGAGTAAAAAATATACCTATACAATGTATATTGATCAAAACCTACAACATAGTGAACATGTGTTTAAAATATATTAAAATATTCATTAAGTGTATCGTGTATGACACATAAGTTTACAGACACTTATGGTGCTTTAAAACAAAAAAATGGTGAAATTATATAAAAGTTAAACTACCTACTTAAGTTGTAGTCCTATTTTTCATATTATTATTTACTATATTTGTTGTAGGTTATATAGATTTATAGAATTATTATTCACAATATATCATTATTTTTAAGAATATAATTATTTTAAAATATATTCTTGATTTATGTTTAGTTTTAGTAACTTAGCATTAATACTTTTTGTAGTTAGTTGATAAACACCATGATATGTTCAACTTTGTTAAATAGAGTATAGAGCTATTATATTTTTATTGAATAAATCAAACTAAATTGTTATGATAATATATCGAATGAATGTGTATATTTTTTCTATTTCTTTGATAAAATATGTTTCAATCACACAAATTAGAGGCTCTTCAAGGCTGAAACTTAAATTTTTGTAGTCTATACTACAACAATGACTTAATTGATCAATTAATTGTATGAATTATTTTATGAAAAAAAAAATTAATGATTATTTATTATGCTATATAAAATGGTTATAACTTTATAAAAACTGTTCAGTGATTTATAGACCACAAAAGAGATGACGATAAAAATGTATTACTACAGTGAAACCTCTGAATAGCGGACACTCTTGGTCACCAAAATTTTGTCTGTTATTCGGAGGTGTCCGTTATTCAGAGGGGATACATTTTTGAAATTTATTTGTATAATAATGTACTATGTATGTAAATATACATATATGTAATGTTTTTACTTATTATTTATTGTAAGTTATTACATTTTTATATTTTTACAAATTACATATTATTATTTAAAGTATATTTTTACAATCAAAAACAAAAATTATTATTTAATATTTATCATTACATTTTTATATTTTTACAAATTACATATTATTATTTATAGTATATTTTTACAATTACAATTAAAATTATACAAAATACATATTTTTAAATTATTTTTGTTTGAAAAAATCAGTGAGCTTTGTCTGTTTATAATTACACCGTCTCTGTACAATCTCATTAGTAATATCATTCGCTAATGTTACAGCAGAAGTAAAAATAGAATTGCTCTTTACCTCTATTGATGAAATGAAATGACTTACGCTCTTTACAGCAGACAAAGCATCCTGTAAACTTGTAATTTGATATTTTGAAGTTTCTGCTTCTGCAGGCTCGTCTTCTTCCTCATTTTCGGGCTCATCGGGCTCATCAGGATCATCGGTGCCCGTTAGATGGAGATACAGATAGGCATATTACAGATTATATTTTCAAATAATGATTAGGGATTTACCATTATTTTAAAAATTCCCTAAAAAAATAATGTCCGTTATTCGGAGAGCCCGCTATTCGGAGGTTTTCCTATTGAAAAGTAGTGAAAATGTCCCCGTTCCCCAAAAAACATCCGCTATTGGGAGGTGTCCTTTAGTGGAGGATTCACTGTATATGAATTTCCTATGAGAAAAATATATTACAACATTGAACACTAAGTTTACATATAACAATTAAATCCGTTGATTAATATTATGCAATTTATGGATTAAAAAATAATTATAATTGAGTTAGCGAAACGACAATAAATAGTACACATGTTGTATCAATCCAACTCTTTAAATCCCATAAATGTATAAATGTAACTAAAATGTATATGAATTCATCCTATTGCTATGTCACCTACTTAGAGAGTGAAAAACAATGAACAACAAATAATAGGTATGTGTTACATTTTAATCTGGAGAGGAATACATTCTGTATACTCCTAGTTGTTGTATTTAAACTTGTAAAATAAAAGTTCAGTCAAATAACATACATATTTTGATCATTTTAAAATTAACTTATCCCTCAGTTTTCAAATCAATAAATTATGGCAGTAGTCAAAATTTTAATAAAAAAAGTCTATATTAATATGAAACATATATAAAATAATCTAGTAATTTTGTGAACAAATATTATATCAAACCAAGTAACCATATATAAAGTACGAATAAAAAAAAAGTTTAAAAAATCATCTCTTTAAACTATAAATATAAACAAATAATAATACTAAAATAAACAATTAAGTCTTGTGATGATTACATACGTAGTGGTCAATAAATAATAGGTAATTAATGTAAAACATTTAAAACAGAACAATTACATTAAATTAGCACAAAATCAAAAAAAAAAAACCATAATAGATTTTCAATATAGTTAACAAAAAACAATAAAAATAAAAAAACAAATCAAAGTCTTTTGGTTACGTAAAATAGTAAAAGAAAAAAATGTTTTGCAAATTAAAAAATTCTGCTGGTGACAATAACATTATTCAAATCATTTAAATGACCAAATTATTAAGTCAACAACAATTATGAATACTAACAATTTAATACAACACGCATCTACTTAAAAATATAAATAAATTAAGATCGTAAACAATTAAATAAATTATAAGTAAATCAAAAAACAATCATATTAAAATAAATCGAGTAGGAATCATCAGTCACAAACAATAATAATAAAACTAAAATATACATATGTAATATGAAGCTTTTGAATAATAATGAAAACATTAGTTAAAATTTCTAGGAATTCTGTGGACTCTATATTTTAAAGTTTCGGCAAACATCAATGACTTGTCAATTTGCTGTTTCATGAATGTTTGATTGCCGATTATTAATAAGGTGCATTCCAAGTATTTATTGATAGACATTCCGAGTAGACTCTGGGCGACTAAAGAACGAACCTTACCAAGTTTTTCTAGCAGTTGATTTAGCAGTTTCTCCATGACAAGGACTATGTCTTGTTGTAATTGGTCGCCAACCACACAATTCTTGTTCGGTATGGGATAATGTAATATATCTCGCATGTACGACATGAATTCACACAGTTCATTTGGAGTAACTTCCAAATCCAAAGTCTGTAATCAAAAGTAATTAATTCATTTTTGTTTGCCCAAAAGCCATGAGTGTATTCAAAATATTACCAATAATAAGTGGTTCAACTTTTGTGACCGATCCCTCAATGCCTTTGTCGATAAGCATATCTTTTTTTGTGCCCCTTTTGTAATGGTATTTTTGTTAACTTTAGCTATGAAATCATCAATATTGTCCTCATCAATGAATTCAATTTCCAGATAACTGAGGCTGTTGAAGAACCATTGGTATTTATGTAGTTTCAAGTAGTAAAGCCACTTAGCAACTGCTCCATCCATTTCTTGATCGAGAATCGTCAGGTCGTTTAATGACTGCGAGTCTCCCAAAGCCGTGGAACTGTTAGTCTTTGCAATCATTTCCAAATGGTTGTAGCCAAAACATTCCACTAAAAAAACAAATTGTACATCATGGTTAAACATTGAAATTTGTAACTTGGTCAATGATTAATTCTTACTTCTAAAGTGTGGTAGACCAGGAACAGAATTTAAATTTGTCGGTTGCAAAATGTTTGGCCAAACCGGTGTGTTTTCGAGTTGAGTAGGCCGAATATTAAATGTTTGGAAACGGTCTGCTTGTGGTGGTCTAAAATAATTTGGCCAAAAGCTTTCTGTCAAGGTTTCTGTCGGCATGTGGCGTTGATTGTTGTTCAGATGACTTACTTGGCGAATTAGATGTTTCAAATTCCTAAAAATTTATAAAATGGTATTACTAGTTGAAAAAATGTATTGAAAAAATCAAACTTTAAACTCACTCGTGAATAACGGTTAGGTTTGGTGATCTCTCAATCAAATGGCATATTTTCACTGCAGCCTCAATGTTGGTACCATTTTCAATTGTTTGGCTTAGCATACGTCTTAAATTGTACGTGTACTCCTCTTTGGCCATTATGTTGTTATTTTTTACCAATATCAATGCTTCATGAAGTCTTACAAATGATTTTGACGATGGATTTTTTAACCATTTAGTAATTTTATTTGGATCATTAGCGTCCAGTTCTCTTTTTTTCATCTCTCTATATAACACAGTGTATAGATCAGGATAGTTGAATGACAGTTGATCCAGAGATTCACTCAGACGTTCTTGTCGCTCTCTGAATGATTTACACTGCAATAATGCCTCTGCTAGTTGTTTCATCTCGTCCACTAGAAATAAAATCAACGTTAAGAATTAAGAACTAATTACATAAAATAATCATACAAGGAGGCACACAAATATTCTCAATTTTTAAGACATATATAATAATAAAATTCTATATTTTCAAATTCATTAAATTCAGTCTTGTAAAATATTTGATTAAATGTATTTAAATACTGTATTGGATGTATTCATATTTTTAATTCGAAACAATTATTTGTCTGCAGTCTTCAAGTGTTTTTGATAATTATTTTATTTATAATACTAATTGTGTAATTTATTAAACTATATTTTGTAAACCCAATGGCCCATGTTGCCAATGTCCCGTTAATGATTATTTCATTTTTTGGTATACATTTATGAAGGAGGTAAAAAAAGTTCTAATAATACCTAGATGAATGTCACATTACATTGTTTTGAATAAAATGAGTTTTCTTTTTGCTCGTTTCAAAAGTATTTAAATACACGCAAAGTATTTGTATTTATTCTTAAAAGCATTTGAAATGTATTTAAAAAAATCTATGTAATGAATGTATTTGCATGTGTATTATTTTAAAATTATCAGCTTTTAAAAGACCTATAAAAGATAAAACATTAAAACTATATACATTTTAAAACAATGTCGGCTCAATATTTGTTTCATCTCTCAGACCAACTAACGACATAGATAAATGCATTCAGAAAGTATCGTTTTTGGGATTTGCGAGATATCTTTTAAGTAAAATAATCCTTTCACATATCGGTTTTACATTTCATCATTGTTTGACTTTATAATATAAGATTCAACAATAAAAAAAAATTGAACATTTTAAAGAATATTATAAATTGTTTTTATATATA